GTGCGCTCAAAGGCTGAGCGCAGTGTGGACGACACCACACCAAGGGTTGGGATCCCCTTACCGGTCACGAAAATGACAAAAAAAAAAAAAAAAAAAGAATATATATCCTTGATATTTTTCCATATCAGTTCATAGAATGTTTCATCATTCTTTTTGACAACTGAATATTACATTGTATAAATGTACTGTAATTTAAAAAGTAGTCCTTTGTTTATAGATATTTGGGTTATTGCCAACCTTTTCCTAGTACAAAAAACAATGCAATGAGTTATGTTGTACATATATCATTTCTGCATATATGCTATTATATATCTGGATAAATTCTCAAACATTAAATTCCTAGGCTGAAAGTTACATGCATCTGTGCTTTGATAGATATGTATTATCAGGTTACAAGAGAAAAAACACACGTGCTTGAGATAGATGTTTCATAAAATAACATATGTTGATATTTTTCTATTCTAGTCTATTTCACTTTTTAAAATACTGGTCTCAACTCACCAAAATAATTTCATAACCTAATAAATAACCACATAAAATAAGATATGACATTGGAAAAAAGATACAGAGCAAATAAAAAAGAATTACTGGAGATTGTGTTGCTTAACACTACACAAATACATTTGAAAACCTTGATGACATGAATGGTTTTCAAGGAAAATATAAGTGACCTAAGATGACCCTAGAAGAGATTTAAAAAAAAAAATCTAAAAAGATAATTACCACAGAAGAGCAATTTGTTAAAGAGCAGACTCCCTCCCCCAACACCCCTGCCAAAAAAGCCAGGCCACAGACAGGCTCAAAGTTAAATTCTCACAAGTCCATAAGATGAAGCTCATCCTAATGATTTACTTTCGTTTTGTTTTAAACAAACTTTAAAAATTTTAAATGTATAAAAAGATTGCAAAGATAATACAGTGAGCTCCCATATACCCTCCATTCAGTTTTCCCTTATGTTAACATCTTATATAATCATTGTACCTTTCTCAAAATTAAGAAATTAACATTCGTACAATACAACTAAATTACAGACACAAATTTCACCAGTTTTTCCACTAATGTTCTTTTTCTGTTCCAATCCAGGATATCATGTTGCATTTAGACAGCTTACTTAATTTTTCCCCCCAATGCTATTTCAACTGTTCTAGAGCATAAAGAAAGAAGGTTTCCAAATTCTTTTTTAAGGAGCCAGTATAAGATTGATACCAGTTCTAACAAAAACAATACAATAAGGTAAAAACACAATCTTCCTTATGCATATAAAAGTAAATATACTGAATAAAATATTAGCAGAATTCAGCAGCAATCAACAGAGCAATAGTGGGATCTATTCCAGGGGTGCAAGGATAGACGACTACTGAGGGCATGTAAAAGTGAAAACAGGACATCCGAACTGATCACTCTGAAAATATGGAGACTTACACTCTTTCGGTCAAATGGAAGCCAATACGGGCCAGCCCAGTGGTGCACTCGGTAGAGTGCGGCGCTCCCTCCGAGGGTTCGGATCCCATATAGAGACCGTCCGCTCACTGGTTGAGCACAGTACGGGCATGACACTGAGGGTTGCGATCCCGTTACCGGTCACGAAAAAAGACAAAAAGGAAAAAAAAAATGGAAGCCAATACAAACTAATGGACAAAGGCTAACTCAGACATAGGCTATAAGCAAAAATACATTCCATTTAAATCAACAGATGTGTCAGTCTAGCTTTATTCTACAGTGGGTACACCAGGCATGAATACTGTCTTCAGTTCTAGGCATCTCACTTTTTATTTTTATTTATTTAGTTTTTTTTTAAAGATGACCGGTAAGGGGATCTTAACCCTTGACTTGGTGTTGTCAGCACCACGCTCTCCCAAGTGAGCTAACCGGCCATCCCTATATGGGATCCGAACCCGGGGCCTTGGTGTTATCAGCACCACACTCTCCCGAGTGAGCCACGGGCTGGCCCTAGGCATCTCAATTTTTAAAACATATAAATGTAATAATAGAGAGAAGATTTCTGGTTAAACATGGTAAATTTAAACAATGTCTTATTCTTTTTCTAAATCCTATAAATCACAGTAAAGGAATAAAAAAGGTATAAACCCATATGATAACATATATAGGAGAGAAGACAACAATAGATGAGAAATGTCAAGGGTGTTTCAAAGACAGAAAGTATAAAAGGTAACAAAGGAAACAGAAAACTATGTGCCTTCAGAGGGGTATTCTGATGAAAAATGAGCTGATTTGCCCAGTGGCTCAGGAATTAGAGGCAGTAGGTACAGGAGAAAGCAGGGATGAGCATAGTGCTGAAAACATGGAAACAGGTCTCTACAAGCAGCAATTATATTCACAGCCCCCATTCCACTCCACTTGCCTGCCTAGACAACTATCCCTTTCCCATTCTACTGGAGACAAAGGACTTACTTGCTGGAAAAATCAAATGAGAGAGGCTTGGGGAAACCAGGCACAATAGAGGGTATAGGAACAAAAATAGGATTAAGTAAAATTCTTACTGAATGACAAGACCTCCATTCTCTTCCTTTGCCTAGATCTCAGAATATTGGCAGCCAGGACTTCATATACCATGTAAGAGATTAGAAAATCCTTCTCTGGAGAACTGAATAGCTCCAGAGAAAAGACCTTCAGATATTGAGACTCTCAGGATTCCCCAATAAAAAGGCAACTTGCGGACCGGCCTGGTGGCGCACTGCTACAGTGTGCCGCTTGGGAGTGCGGTGGCGCTCCCGCTGAGGGTTCGGATCCCACATACAGACCGGTTCCCGCTCACTGGCTGAGCGAGGTGCGGGCGCAACACCAAGGGTTGCGGTCCCGTTGCCGGTCCCGGTCCGGTATGGGCGCAACACTGAGGGTTGCGATCCGTTGCCGGACACGAAAAAAGACAAAAAAAAAAAAAAAGGCAACTTGCTGCCAGATCACCCTGAATTAAAATCTATTTGACAATAAGCCCGACCTATCATACAAAGCTTTCAATCATTTGTGTTTACTGCTTTACTCTTATCTATGTTTATGGTCTGAATGTCTGTCCCCTCCAAAGCTCATGGGGAAGCTTGATCCCCAATGTGGTAGTGTTGAAAGGTGGGGCTTTTGGGAGATAAATGGATCATGAGGGCTATCCCTCATGAACGAATTAACCCATTCATGGATTAATGGGTTAACGGACAAGTGGGTTATAACGGGAGTGGCACTCGTAGCTTTTTAACGAAAGAAGCATGT